TATATATATATATTACATTGACACACTTCTGTCATCCTGCAAACCTTTAGAAAGTTTGCCGAGGCCCTCTCCTGGCCTTTCTGAAATCACACTTTGCCGAGTCAGGCTTTAATAAATGAATCTCGGAGGGCATTTACACATGGTTTTAATATGATCAGATAACTATGAAGAGTGTAAATAAGCCCATATTTCAGATTCTCGGTGCATTAACATCACACTGTTTCTCTGATGAATCTCAGCTCTCTTATATTTCTGCATTTGACAGAAGCTTTTATCCGAAGTGACTTGGATTGCATTTAAGGTCTACGCAACATTCATTCATTCACCACACAATTCCTGTCAACACAATGCAAGAAATACACAATGCAAAGAACATTGTTTTATTAAGATCAAATGAAACTCAAAACTCTGACAAAAACTAAAGTTTGACACCGCAGAGGGTAAAAGACCATTTTAAGCATTAAAAATGTTGAGAACTGAAGATAACAGAACAATATGTGCATTCAAGTATTCTAAGACATGCCTTCTGAATAACTCGTGTACGTCTTACTGAAGGCACTGCAGCCAGTGGTTATTCATTAAGAGATTCAAATTAGGTTGTATCCTTCTAGGCAGGAGCGGTTTTTAAATTATGACTATTATTATGATAAATAGAGAATACAACAGTTTAGCTTTTTCAGTGCATGACAGGTCTTCAAGCTTTTAAAGTTTTACCCTTATTGGCTCTGAAATACGAGTATATTTCTTGGTGAGAATTTCGCTATTTCACGACATAATAATTCAAATAAAAAATAAAATAAATAAAAATCTATCCATAAAAATCAGTTAATAGCATAGATAGCCCAAAACACGCGAAGTAGCAACTCCTTACAGCTTTTTTCTCTCCAAACGCTTTCAAATCAGCACAGCAAACCAGCTCACTTTTTGGTCGTTTGGACTCGACTGGGTCAGAAACAAAGTGACTTCAGATGAAATGACTGACAGTCGGCTGACTGCTGCCCAAAACAAATGCAAATACAAGACTTGATGCTTGAGAACTGATCACTTAACTTATATGTAGCAGGCCTATTATTTTTGAATATGGTAAATAGGCTTGATCTCATTCACTTTAGTTTAAGCATTGTATTCATTGCTGTGAAGATAAATAATAAATGACACTGTCCCAGTAATGTCACTAATTGAGTGTTTTAACAGTGGTCCAATGTACTTCTAGCACATAAATGTGAACACTATGTAGTTAAGAAATCAAACGACAACAAAACTATTAATTAAAAATCCAATATATGAATAAAAAACGTTGGAAATACTGTAATAAAACATCAACACATCACAATTAATAAATACATTAAATGAACGAACCTAAGGTGCTTTTTAGAGCTTATTCCTAAATATTATTTTAATGTTTCAATCATCTAACCATCGGTGGTTAGATGACTGAAACATTAAAATAATATGCAATTCAACGAGATTAGATTAGATTAGAAACAAAAGAATGAAGTCGGTTATAGTAAGGGTGAAATCTAGCAATTCAGTTCAAAGCATTATTCAAAATTACAGGAGGAAGATATAGAAGAAAAAAAAGATTATGCACGAGGGGTTCAACTAAACGGTTAGAAAAAGGAGTTTTGAAAAGCATGAAATAATTTAATAAGAGGACCATCTGCAATACTAACAAAGATCCTAAAGAATCATGATGCCGACAGTAAAAATCAAAGCTTTAGAACAAATATCTTCCATGATGATAAAGATTATTAACAATTCAGAAAGCAAATGGACACATGTAAAAACACTGTCGTCAAAATAAAGAGAAATAAAATCCCACAAACTGTTACTAGTGCTTAAAACCATGAAAGATTGTCTGCTGTTCAAAAATGATTAATCAAGTTCCCCTGGACTTTGGTTTTTATAGCAGTGTTATCAACTATGTGCATTGTGAAGGGGAATGGAAAAAGTCAATAATGTCACAACCTTCATTAACATACACATTTCTTCCAAAAATAACGCAGCATTCAGTGTAATTTCAAACGATCCGGTGAGTCTCCTGTAAAACACTGATTAGAGAAATGAAAAGGCCATTAATGGTTTCTCGATGCTAATGTTAGTTTGGGTGCTCAGAGGTAAGCCTCTCCTGCACAAAGCCTATCAGAGTCTTTTTTAAACAACATCCGGATTGCGTAACAGTCGAGATCCTCACCTGACACAAGTTACTAAAGTTAGCAGAATAACACACGCGTATGATCGGATGTTAAGGGAGAACAGAAGACTAAATGTAGCACAGCCAGTTTCACACAACATTTCCAAAGGTCTAAGTGTTTTGAACACGCTCACAAACAACAGTAGGAATTCAGCGATTAAACCACACCATTTATTGCTAATCCTGAAAAACTTCACTATGCATGAATCTCCTGTAACATACACTTTTACAATGATTTGTAGTGTGGATAAAGGAATAGTGATCATGCCATTATTTACTCACCCTCAGGTTTATACAAACTGAAAAGAAGAATTTTGAATGTTTCTTAATGCAGTTCTTTTTCATATAAAGTCAGTTAGGGTTAGGGCTGCATGATTTCAGGAGAAAAGCCTATTTGCAATTATTCTAATAATTAAAATGCAGTTAAAAAACAAAACAAAAACAAAAACGCATGTCTTGAGCCATTTTGCTCTTAACATGGCTGTCATAGTTGCTCATTTGAGCTGCTCTTGGTAGATTGCATTGCTCATTATGGAAGTGATCTGTGTCTGTGTTCTTTAATGTGAGTAGATCAACCGCAGAACCATCGGTGCTTTTATGGGATTACAGCGCTCTCACGCTAATTTGCCCAGTTTAGTCCATCTAGAATATGGCACACAAGCCATATGTGGTCACCATTTCCTGTCGTTGTATAAAAAGAGCTGCATAAAGTTTCTCCAAAAATTCAGGAACAACATGAGGGTGAGTATAGAATGACAGAATTTGTGTTTTTCAATTAACTACTCCTTTAGTTTCTCCTAACTCATGTTGCTTTATCACTCCTCTGGTTAACAAACGAGATTAGTGGTCTATGGATGCCTTGAGCCCAAAGTATACTTTGCATTTGAATGCACACATTTATAGTCTACGGCGCAGCTTTTTCAAAGTATACTCCATTTGTGACCCTGGAGCACAAAAGCAGTCTTAAGTCGCTGGGGTATATTTGTAGTAATAGCCAACAATACATTATATGGGTCAAAATTATTGATTTTTCTTTTATGCCAAAAATCATTAGGATATTAAGTAAAAATCATGTTCCATGAAGATATTTTGTAAATTTCCTACCGTAAATATATTAAAACTTAATTTTTGATTAGTAATATGCATTGCTAAGAACTTCATTTGGACAACTTTAAAGATGATTTTCTCAATATTTTGATTTTTTTGCACCCTCAGATTCCAGATTTTCAAATAGTTGTATCTCCCAAATATTGTCCGATCCTAACAAACCTTACATCAATGGAAAGTCAATTTCTTATGACTGGTTTTGTGGTCCAGGGTCACATTTGATAGTGTGTCATCTTTGTCCAGTGCCTGTACTATTTTTCTCCAGAAGTTATATGCGCTAAAAATATCTTTGTACTTTTTTAGTCTAAAGATCAGTCTGTTGTTGTTGCAGTCTCCACTATTTTGTTGTTGTTCTGCGTCTAGTTTAGTTTTCAACTGTGAAACAACAGCCCGGGCCAGTGCTGCCACCTTGTGGAACAACTGATTAGTGCAAAACTTAGTCAATGCGCATGTGCAAAGAAAAAATCTGGTGGCGTGCCTACAGTACTATTCTGGTGACAAAATCTGCATCACGCACACTGAACGTGGACTGTCGTGTACGCTAAAAACCGAAGTATACTTTGGGCTTTAGTTAGGGTGACCATATGTGCCATTTTTCCCGGACAAGTCCAGGCTAGGATTTCAATATTGCCTAAAATATTTAGGTTTTGGCTTTGTTTGCGATTGCAGACCGATTGGTGTATGACAACAAAGTACCATAAAAGCTATAGAGAGCAGAGCAGACGGCTCCTTATGTTTTCGAAATGCTCTCGAGGTACTTTGATGTAAAATCCTGATCGATCTGAGCAGGTGTGTTTAAGTCGAACACACCTAATATGTACGCGTATTTGCATCGCTTTGACCGTTCTCCGTAGATCCCACCTTCTCGCACGCCATGATTGGTCCATTCTGTACAATGCCTGCATGTTATTCTACTTTTCGATCATTACCTTCAGCAAGTCTGAAAACAGAAAAACAAAGCCAAAACAAATCCTGGCCAGGATGTGTCTGGGAAAAATGGCACGTATGATCACCCTACTTTAGTGAACTGCCTATAATCAGAGTGGTAAAAATCAAGGCCCTACATCACAGCCGGACAACTATGGGCGTTTCTGAGGACTCATGTCTTGTTGCGGGTGAACACGCGCTCGCCCCTCAGATTGAGATGCTGTAGCTGGTACTGCAGCACTTCAGTGTCCGCCGGCTCCCTGAGGCTCATCTTGTCCAGGTTGAGGTAGTCCAGGGACTTGGAGTACACCCGCTTGCCCTTCAGCAGGCAGAGGGGCAGGGGCCCGTGTAAGGCCTTGCTGGGCTCCCCGCTCACCATCGACTTCAAGCAGCCGTCGCCTGAGCTGGGCATGCGCCGCCTCCGGCGTCCGTTGATGGCTGGGATGTCATACGGTTGGTAGTAACGGCTTTTGGCTTTGTAAATCCGCGAGGCTCGGTGCAGGCTTAAATCCACAGGCTTTTTGATGGGGCTTGGCAAGGCCTCGGTGTTGCTGTTGTCAGGGCTAGACCACTTCTGGGCTAATTTGAGAAGCTCCTCACCGGTGGTGAAGCCCACTAGATAGTTGGAGTTCATGTGGAGGATCTGGTATCCTGAGACAGTACTTTTAATGGGGGAGCAGGGAGTGCTGGAGCAGCGGGGTTTATCGGCTTCTGGCTTCAGGGTGGCTTTGACCTCAGCAGCAGGCAGAACGGATATGGGCGCCCTGGACACTCCACTGGCATCCATTTCCATCTTTAATGACATGACCTGGCTGAAACACACAGGGAGATATGTGGGGAATAAATAGCATATATTATGCTACAAATAACACAACAGTTTATAGCCTATATTTCATCATCATTTACTTTCTTAATGCACATTCCTTGTCAAATCTGCTTTTCACAATACAGATTGTTTTAAAGCAGCTTTACCGAAGGTTATGCTGTTATGTCTATAATGTCTTTGTACTTCACCACAGAGCAAGGCTCATATCATCATGGCTGGATAATATGACGATTTAAATCAATGCAAATGATCCTCCAGGTTTTAGATCTAGCTATACTGTATTTATAGCATTGTCTAGCACAGGGGTGTCCAAACTCGGTCCTGGAGGGCCGGTGTCCTGCAGAGTTTAGCTCCAACCCCAATTAAACACCTGAACCAGATAATCAAGCTCTTACTAGACATACTAGAAACTTAAAGGGAGGTGTGTTGAGGCAAGTAGGAGCTAAACTCTGCAGGACACCAGCCCTCCAGGACCGAGTTTGGACACCCCTGGTCTAGCACATATATGACCCTGGACCACAAAACCTTAAGTCTTAAGTAGCACGTGTATATTTGTAGCAATAGCCAACAATACATTGTATGGGTCAAAATTATCAATTTTTATTTTATGCCAAAACTCATTCGGATATTAAGTAAAGATCATGTTCCATGAAGATATTTTGTTAATTTCCTACTGTAAATATATCAAAACTTCATTTTTGATTAGTAATATGCATTGCTAAGAACTTCATTTGGACAACTTTAAAGATGATTTTGCACCCTCAGATTCCAGATTTTCAAATAGTTGTATCTCCTATCCTAACAAACCATACATCAATGGACAGCTTATTTATTTAGCTTTCAGATGATGTATAAATCTGCATATGACTGGTTTTGTGGTCCAGGGTCACATATATCAGTGCTGTGGTGACTCTGGCGTTTAAAGCAGTTAAGTGATTTAAATATTGCTTGGATTTATTTAAACAAGAGTAAGCAATTCTCAAAAATCATTAGTGAAAATATGATCAGGCGTATGATGCCTGGGCACATGCTGAATTGTCACAGTAAAACTCTTAAATTTGAGGATGGAAAAACAGGAATCATCTAGTATATTAGCTAGGAATCTGCCTAATATGATTATTAAATAAATATGAGCATTGCAAGTAAATACATGGTGCTCTTGCACCGGTGGATACTGCACATTTATTCCATGCAATTGTTTAAGATCGACTGTTTGTAAATTATTATGACAATGTTTACTTTATGGTTTTTATATTACAATATGTTGTTTATTTTATCACCTATCTTTATCTTCTTCTTCTTGGTTTTTAACAGAGGCTGGCAACCAACGTAATAGGTGCTTTTTGTGCAAGGGAGTGCAATATGTTAAAATATGATATGCATTCAGATTTATATAGGCTTATTATTCTACTATAGCCTATAACATTTTTACTAGGCTACATATAATGTCGAACGAAACGAGGATGTTTTTTTTTTTTTGCTATTATATAATAAAACAATTATTTATAACACGATATAGATATATAAAGTAATGGGAATGTTTACACTGCACCATGATGAATGCTACATAAATATTTAGTTCAGTGTTTTACTGATCTACTATCAGATGTTGATGTTAATAATGTGCTAAGCAATAAGTATTTAGTTTACAAAATATCAATGTTGTTTATGTACTGTATGGTAATACAAGCATATGTGCATGAACAACTAACAAAATTAGTATTAGTGACTGCCAATACATGTACAGTATGTCAGTGTGTATGAAATATGGTACTCATTGCTTTGAAAAATGTAATGCTTACCGCTTGATAAATGTTTAACTTTTCTTGAGCTTTTTTATTATTCATATATTTTGCAGAGTAATTCTATTTGTTAACCAAAGGAGGTTACATTTTTTGTTAAAATGTTTTAAGTATTACATTTGTTTTAAAACTAAAACTTTAAAACAAATTGAAAGAATAAAGTTTAATTTCTATTGTCTCTGCTTTAAGGTTTATTTTAACTAAAATTAACGATTTAAATAATTAAGTTACTTATTGAGTAACTAAATTACTTTTCAGACCGAGTAATTAGAAAAGTCATTTAAATACAATATTAATCATGTAATCAGTAATTAATTACTTTTTGAAAGTAACGTACCCAACACTGCTCTTGTGTCTTCTGTCTGGGCTGCCTGTCACAGAATAAGAATATTATTTAACGCATATAGTTCAATATTTAGATTTTACTAGTATCAGCACAATATACTGGCCTGTAAATAATTACAAAATTATTAAATATAGTTTGAAGCAGAAATATTTAAAATCCTACTGTACAGTTTGTATTCTATAAATAAATCTAATTCAATAATTTTGCTTGTGAATGTCTCCTTTCCTTGCATCCCTTTATTAAGGAAAAACACATTATTTGATAAATGTTCATTGTGCCCCTATATATTTTAATGCAGTCCTAAATCAAACTTAGGAGCATATGTGCTTCTCCTTGGTAATAAAGTAAGTTGTCAAGCCCTGTAGAGCAAACGGAGTTCAAACTAACATTTGCATATGTCTATGTGAATGCACTTTGAAGCCGTCCGGTTTGAAGACTGTCACTGGCAGGTGCTGAGGAACAAATGACACAAAAACCTACAAAATACAAAGCTGGGAAGTTGCCAAATAATGTTTTAGATAAAACTGCACAGTTAAGGCAGGTGTTATTTAACCCTAAATAGGGCAAACCCATAAAGAGACATCAGAAAATTAATTTAATGCTATTTTGCATCTTATTGGGACTCAAATAATAGAATTTCATGATTTTTTTCTAAACTTGACTCTTATATTTGATTTTAATGTTTGTATCCCCCAGGATATGTCCCCTTTGGGGGTATAAATTCACTAAAAACAGACCACTTGTTTATCAATGCTTGTAACAACATGGTTGTAATTCCTGAACACTTTGGAGTACAGGCCTATAACGTTGGTCTCTTTTTAAAGAAGACACATAGCTGATTATTGCTGAAGTGAAAGCATTTAAAAAAAAGAAAGTATGAAAAAAGTTATAAAAGTTTAAGTTTACAGTAAAGATAGCATAGTATACTAATTGTTTTTATTTTATATAAAATAACTATTTTATAAAATATGTTGCACTCTAAAATTGCTAAGAAATCAAAGCCATATGTCTAACCGATTTATGTTCCAAATTTGAAGTTGATATCACAAAAATTGTGGTTCCTGTGAGATTTTGTTTGGGCACTATACCAAAAATAACCACTGGGTTACACCCAAACTATATTGAATTTTTCTAATCCAGTTTTCTGTCACAAATCGATCATTTTCTATCACAATATCACATCTATTACAAAACAGTCACCAAATATGGAATCTTGACTGTCAGACCTTTCCAACGATAGACAGACATAGACAGATAGATAGATATAGACAGACAGACAGACAGACAGATAGATGACAGATGACAGACAGATAGATAGATAGATAGACAGATATAGACAGACAGACATAGACAGATAGATAGATAGATAGAGACAGACAGACAGACAGACAGATAGATACAGACAGACAGACAGACATAGACAGATAGACAGATAGAGACAGACAGACAGACAGATAGATAGATACAGACAGACAGATATAGACAGACAGATAGATAGATAGATAGATGAAACCAGGCCAGTGCTTTACTGTAAAAGAACCAAAGATCACTGTAGTATTTCAGCAGAAATCAAATGTGCAATTTAACACTTTGGACATTGTGAATGATGTAAAATCGTAATTAATTATGATGATGATGATAAACGATAATTTTGAGGGTTTAGACTTAGAGAGAGCTATGCGAGGAATCTGCCAGTTTCATCCTGATGATGATGATGCTCGACATATATAATATTATTAGGGACTGCAATACTGTGCCGAGAACCTGATGTACCATACAGACGCGTTCATCAACAGCTTCGTCGTCAAATACGCGTGATAGGAAACATCCAGTAAAACAGACAAGCGTCCTCCAAACACGGTCTTTATTCTGGGCTGTGTCACTGCCTCCATTTCGCGCTTTACAGCAGCAACATCCCAACCGCGCCAGCTCACCCACAGCGCTCTGATCGATGCGGAGTGACCGTAATGTAACGAAGAAAAGAGTGTAAAACCAAACCTGTTCAGAAAGACTGCACGCCTGGGCTTGAGAGAACCATAGACGAGATCCGGTCAGAGAAGTCTGCCGTCGACGCCAGTCACGTGACGCGAGCCGCGGACGCCTCGGGTGCAGTCACGTGACGCGACGAGGGTCGGATGCTCTTATGTAAAACAGTGCTTCTCAAACAGGGGGCCACTAGGGGACTCAGCAAATTTCCAAGGGTGCTACAAAAAGACTTCAAACCAATGCTCGAATTGAGGTGGGCTGGGGGGGTGAAAGGGAAGAAATTATAGAAATTAATACTTTTATTTAGCAAGGATGCTTTAAATTGATCAAAAGTGATGATAAAGACATTAACTACAAAAAGACTTCAAACCAATGCTCGAATTGAGGTGGGCTGGGGGGGTGAAAGGGAAGAAATTATAGAAATTAATACTTTTATTTAGCAAGGATGCTTTAAATTATTAAAAAATGATAAAGACATTTATAATGTTACAAAAGATTTTAAATGCTGTTCTTCTGAACTTTCTATTCATCAAAGAAACCTGAAAAAAATCTACTCTTTTCAACATAATAATAATAGATGCTTTTTGAGCAGCAAATCAGCATATTAGAATGATTTCTGAAGATCAATGTGACACTGAAAATTCATATTAAAAATCTTACTGTTCAAAACCTTTTTCTCTTATTTCTAGCTTTTAATTGGCTATGAAATCAAATACACTGCTGGACAACATCCAATAATAATTATTTGTTTATATACTACAAATATACTACAAATTTTTTCATTTTTATCATATAAGGAAGAAAAGTTTCTATACTGTAATAAATGCTATGTCAACTAGCACTGCATTGTTCATATATTTTCATATATATGTTCATATATATTCATTACCGCGGGAAGTAGGGGTGCTGAGGGTGCTGCAGCACCCCCTGGAGTGTAGCCCACGGAAAAATGGGGGTGCTGGGGGTGCGCAGCCCCCCGCTCCAGCTCAAAATACGTTCCCGCGGCTATGTATATATTACCTGCGTGATCTACATCCATCATTAATGTGACTGAAGTCTGTTCTCAGTTAGGCCCTGTCCAAAATGGAGCACTTCATATGCACTTGCGGTCTTACGGACTTACAATGGCCGCCGCGTGCGCAGGTCGCGTTAAGTCCACGAGACCATATGGGTGTCCCAATTGTCATTTTAGCGTTCAGAAGGATGCTCGCGAGCGCCCCCTTTTGCAGCCGTTATACGCCCTCGATCCGCACTTCTGCACACTTCTGCACACTTCTCGATCCACATTCACATATAAATGCAGTCGCATGCGTCATTCCCTTTGTTCTTCAGCTCTTCACCGTGCTGCTAGAACACCATCATGCCACATTTTCATGAGAGAAAGCCCACGGTGGTGATCCTTGTTGGAAACTATAAGGCAAGAAAAACAGACAAACAAAGAAAAGTGCTTCTTAGCTTATGTGGGTATTCGCTGTCTGAAAAGGATACTCACGAGCACTGCCCAGTGTGTTTGGGGATCCATGCTAAGTTGGCTCTGTCCAACCCCAGAGCATGTGTGCATTGCCGGCTGCTCCGTCGTTCCACGCTCGAGCGGCGTGTGGCGTTTGTGGAGCGTGTGCTCGGTGAGGCAGGGGCCAGTCACGGTCCACTTCTGTCCTCGGAGGCTGATCCAGAGCCGTTTTTGGGGAGGCCGCGGGGAGCTGGGGCGATCGTATAGAAGCCAAGGAGGCCGGGGGGGCGGTTTGGGTGTCGGGATGCTGACTCGTTGGATGCTGGCAAAGAGTTCTCAGATAACGCTTTTTAGGCAGGTCAAATCCCGGGTTTTCCTTCACCCTTCGAAACGGCGGGTGGTAGAGAGTCAGGGGAAGATCCCTTCATTGATCTATATCAGAGAGCGGCAGAGTTGTCGGTGGAATGGCCTGCCCCTCTACCGGTACAGGAGAGCACACACTTCGGGGGGTTCTATCTGTCTCCGGTGCAGACAGTAGCGAGAACCCGCCTGCCGTTTTATATGGATTGTGTAGCGGAGCTCACGTCTTCGTGGCCGAAGCCCATGTCACCCCCTCCTCTGGTGCCACGCACAAACAGGTTCACGAAGCTCGAGGGAGCGGGGGAAGCAGGGTTGATGTCGGCCCCCCGAATGGAACATTCCCTGGCGGCATACCTGGCGCCCACGCAGAATAGTGGTATCGCAGGTACCCATACTCTTCCGGCGGGTCCTTGCCGGTTCTCGTTTAAGCAGCTGGGCAGGATTTACAGTGAGCAAGCCTGCGCAGGCAGGGCACTGAGCTCTATGTCCTTGCTCCAGACTTAAAAAAAGCAGGGGCTTACGAACTACTATCGTGGATCTGTGGCAGTTGAACAAGCACCTCAGACGTTTCAAGTTCAAGATGCTTATGGTGTGTCACCTTCTGTGCTCCCTGCGTCCCCAGGGTTGGTTTACATCGGTGGACTTGACCGATGCATATTTCCATATCACAATCCATCCGGGGCACAGAAAGTTTCTGAGGTTCTCCTTCGAGGAGACTGCGTATGAGTTTCAAGTCCTACAGTTCGGGCTATCCCTGGCACCGCGCATTTTTACGAAATGCGGAGGCAGCGTCGGCTCCATTGCGGCGTCAGGGCATGAGAGTGCTCACGTATTTGGATGATCTGCTCCTGACCGCAGACAGCAGAGAGCAAGCAGTGTTGTAGACACGAGCACTTGTTTCCAATTTGCGGGCTCTGGGATTTTTAATAAATCTCAAGAAGAGCTCCCTGGTTCCAAGTTGGCAGATTTCATATCTCGGTTAAGAGATAGATTCCGTACAGAACACAGCTATGTTGTCAGTACGAAGGGCGGAGGCTTTTCACAGCCGTCTGGCTCAGTTTCAGCTGGGAATTCCCCTGGGCAGGGTTACGTCACGTATACTGGTGACGATGGATGCATCACTACATGGATGGGGAGCTCTGTGCCAGGGGAGCTCTGTAAGAGGGGAGTGGTCAGCGGCACTAAGACAGCATCACATAAATTGTTTAGAGTTGCAGGCTGTTTGTCAGGCACTAGGACACTTTGCCCAGCTTTTGCGGGGCAAACGTTTTAATCAGAACAGACAACACGACAGTGGTGACATATATAAACAGACAAGGGGGTACTCGCTCTCTTCCACTGTTGCAGCTGGCGCGGAAGCTCCTGATGTGGAGCAGCAAACATTTAGCGTCACTCAGGGCAGTGCATGTCCCGGGCCATCTGAATGCTGTCCAGGGGCGGTCCGCAGGTCAGGGAGTGGCGCTTGCACCCGTGAATAGTGGCACGGATCTGGGATCCATCGAAGTGGATCTTTTTGCATCTGCAGAGAACACTTACTGCCCACTGTTTTTCTCGATCACAGACAGGAGCACCCCACTAGCTGTGGACGGTCTGTTGCATGTATGGCCCAGGACCCTGCTGTATGCGTTTCCGCCGGTGGATCTGATACAGCCCACTCTAGATCGGGTGCGTCAGGAGGGTCTCTCACTGATTCTGGTGGCACCTTGCTGGCCAGCGAAGACGTGGTATGCGGGGATCATGGCGTTGCTGTCGGGGACACCGTGGTGTCTTCCCCTGTGGAAGGATCTGCTGTCACAGGCAGAGGGGCAAATTCTGCATCCTCATCTGGGCCTTGGTCTCTGTGGGTTTACCTGCTGAGAGGGAGAATCTGATGGCAGTGGGGCTCCCTATCAATGTGGTGACCACAATTCAGAGTGCTAGAGCGCTGTCGACAAGAAGGCTTTATGCGATGAAGTGGCGCATGTTTGAAGATTGATGTAGGCGGAAATCTTTATCACCATATCAGTGCCCGATTGCAGGGATTTTGACTTTTCTGCAGGAATTGTTGGAAGGTGGTCGCTCCCATTCCACGCTGAAAGTTTATCTGGCGACCATCTCAGCCTATCATGAGGGCATAAATGGTGGTGCGCCAAGCACGCACCCGCTTGCCGCTCGGTTCCTTAAAGGGGCACGATGTCTGAGGCCCGTTACATAGTCAATGGTGCCGTCATGGGACCTGGTGCTGGTTCTGGAGGCCAGGTGTGAACCTACTTTTGAGCCATTAGAGTCCTTAGATCTGAGGATGTTATCTTATAAAACGGCTCTGCTGCTGGTGCTGGCGAAATGTGTGGGCGATCTGCATGCACTGTCAGTGCATCCCACATGCATACAGTTTGCACTGGATGGGTCGAGAGTGGTGTTGCACCTGAATGCGGCATATACACCTAAAGTTTTGTCAAGAGCATATAGTGTGCTCTCATTTGAGCTGCCCGCTCTGTCAAGCCTCTCTGTTGACTTTGAGGAAGACAGGAAGCTTCAAGCTTTGTGTCCTGTGTGGGCTCTACGTAGGTACGTGGAGCAAACGCGGGCTGCATGCTCTTCTGATCAGCTGTTTGTATGTTTTGCCAACCCGGTTCGGGGGAAGCCACTGTCTAAGCAGCGCCTCTCACACTGGATTGTGGAGGCGATTTCTATTACATACAAGAGCAGAGGTTTGACCCTGCCTACAGGGGTGTGTGCGCACTCAACAATGGGCATGGCAATGTCATGGGCATTATTTAGAGGAGTGTCTGTGGAGGATATTTGTGCGGCTTTGTGTTGTACCTCATTTCCCTCCTTCTGGGAACAGTAGTTATATGCATAACTCAATGTTTCTAGTATGCCTAGTAAGACCTTGATTAGATGCTTCAGGTGTGTTTGATTGGGGTTGGAGCTGAACTCAGCAGGACACTGGCCCTCCAAGAGCAGGATTGGACAACCCTGTTGTAATCTATCTGGCAGGCAGATTCAGGCCCTGACCAATATCAAATTCCATTCAACCATGATGAGTTTTGTAAGTGGATGCGGTCAAATTAAAAAAATAAATAAAAAACTGAAAAAGGACAGTGAAAATAAGCTTACACAGACCTATCTGAAGCTATGGCCCTCTTAAAGAAACTGGCAAGCAACTAAAGGGAGCAGGGCCTGTATTTATCAAGCCTCTGAGAATTACTCAGAACACTGCTAAGAATTGACTAGAGTAAAAATATTCTTGGCTCAAAGCTGCATTAAAAGTTAGTTATCAAGCATCTCAGTCATGATTTA